TTATATCTCAAATTGCCATGTGATGTGGTATATGTACAACAACAACTTATTTATTTTGCAGAAAACATAATTGATGATTTATACCTAGTAATTATGTATGAGTGGAATCAGGCGCTTCATGCACAATCCATAATGTTATTAAAATATCTGAAAATCAAAAAAATACCATGTTTGTAATGTGGATATTTACTAATTCTGATGGTGTCCTGGTTATTTAAAGGAAATGAAAGAACTGAAAGTAAATAATTACAATATTTGTGTTCTTGATATATACCATAAATACATATTTTTCATTTTTTAATTAGATAAGAATATATCTCTCTTCATATAATCTCCTAGCCAGCAGTAGGACAGGATCTCAGCATTGTTTCTGTCTGCTTCTGTTACACTGGGGTTCTTTAGGGGCATGCCACCTTTAGTTAGATCCCACTGGCCAAAGAAGTTGCAGTGAATATTATTTATCATCATTAAATGTTTTGGTTGATCTCACATGCAAAGATTGAAATGCATGTAGTGCCTTAGTTAAGCTTACACTTTTATGGTCCTATAAATGCAAGTGAGTCGAAAGTCATGGAAGAGTTCACTGTAAAATTTAATTTCATTAGAACAATTAAAGACAAGATGGAAGTTTGGGGTTTTTTAAATTTGTTGTATGCCCTTATTGTCTGTTCATTATGGTAAAAAGGATAACTTATTGGTTAAAACCAGAACAACACAGGTTTTGAATCCGTGGTGTTTCCAGCTTCTTCCTCATCCTCTGCCTGGGTTTGGCTTGCTGCGTTTGGCATGCTGGGTACTGCTGTTCTTGATCTTACTCTGGGATTATTCGGTATTTTCACCACTGCTGTCTGTGGTGCCATGCTTCCTGCTTCTTTGTCGAGCTTCAAGTAATTAAACTAGTTAAATAAGTACTGTAATTGTCTGCCATTGAATCTATAAAGCTTTGCATCATGTCCGCCTCAGAGAGAGAGGTGGGTGTTTGGTGATGTAATATGGCGGGATCTGCAGCTAGTTGAAGGCTAAACCTTCTCAAATTTGTTGTGATTTATGTAAATATGCTCCCATGTGTTGTTAATGTAGTGCTTGAGAATAATTGGCAAATAATTAATTTTCTTAATGGGAGTTGTTTAACCAATGGGGACACAGATAATCTTATATCCCCAGACCTCGTGTTACATTTGATGAGATTTTAGAGAAGTCATGTGTAATACTTTCCTGAGGGTCGAGTCTGCTTATGTTACAGTTGTACAAGGTCAGACCTTAATTTATCTAGCAACTGCGTATTTAATTTTAGAAGTATCACAGGACACCTCAGCTTGCAGGGCACTGTTCCTGGCTGTTCAAAATTCAGGCCCCAGAGTAGCACTGGCAAGATAATGGGTTGAAATGGTGAGACTGTGCTATGCTCGCCAATTAAACTAGCAGAGAAATAGTTTAAAAACTTAATACTTGAGACTCTGAGTCCAAATTTAGATTGCTAGTAGTTATTTTATTGCTATGAATAACCTCTGTGCATGCCTAAGGGCCTTCTATTTAAAGAGTAAAGCTAAGATTGTCTAGTTTATTTTAAGGATAAGAAATTAGAATAACACTAACTCTCACATAACTTTATGTGTTTAAAAGAAATAAATGCTTGATACACTTCTTTCCAAGGAAAGATACAAACTTCCATAATTAGCAAGTAGTTAATATTTTTTCTAATGAGAAAACAGCAATTTAGAGAGAAAAAACATTTTTTCTAAGTACAACATCAAGAAGTAATATCTAGTTTTTCAGGTATGAATATAAAAAGTATCAGAAAAGTATCAGGCTGCTCAAAATGTTTTTTTAAGGAGAATATTCTTTGTAATATAAAAATATAGAGTAAGGGTTTACAATTGTTTCCAGTGATCTAGTGTGTGGGTCTGCCAAGGGTGAATGGAAGAAGATTTTCCTGCTGAGCTTTTTAGCCTTTTCATTGCCACAGCACGTAATGGAGCAGCGATGTTTCTGTTGCTGCTCAGTGTACCAGCCATGCTGTTTTGCTCCCCTGTGATCCTTGTGGAACATCCTTGCTTTGGTCAGACCTTGTCGGCTCAGCACAGTGTATTACCAGCAGTGATGGAGCAAATCAGGCTCCCGGAGCGCGTGTAGACCCTTGGCAGCGCGTCCAGAGCTGTGGGGAGCTCTTTGCCTTACTCTGACTCTACCCTGCCACAGTTACTTGCTTTGAACCAACTTTCCCATTTTACAGTATGTGAACTTTTGTGGGATAAGATCATTTGCAAATAGTACACACAGCAGTTTTGAAACACTGCTCATCTGAGACCTTTCTGGTTAAGTTTGTGTTCGAGAGTTTTTGGTGCCTGTGGTGAAATCACTCAGGGGAGCATAGCAAAGCAGGAGAAAGTTTTGGGTATGGAAACTGCATAACCAGAGAAAATTTTCTGTGGTGGCCACTAAACTGGTTTTATTTAATTCCTCTGATCTTTTGGAGAGAAAGGAGCAATAGAAAGGAAATACACTCTAATGAAAATAAAAGGATTTTATTACTAAAATCTCTCTTGCTTAGTGTTCCTAACTCTTCCTGGAAACACTAATGTTGGGAGCATGTTGATCATCTGGCATGAGTAGACCATATGTGAACATTGCTAAAAAGTCTTTTTAATACACTAAACTGACTTTTTTTTCCAGAGAGTTTGCAGTGTGAGGGTCTGATCTAAGGCATGTGTAAATCTTCAGGAGACTTTTTCGTTCAGGAGTAAATATAATATGATGGGCTGGAATATAATAATTCTCAACTTTCCTAAGGACAGCAACTTCAGTAAGGCTGGCAGGGCATGAAGGCCCCTCCATGTGGATCCAATAGGGTGATCTTGATTCATTAAAAAAAAGTTTTATCAATGGCTTAAAATCTTCAGATAGAGGGTTTTCAAAATGAAAGGTGTGAAAAAGGGGAAGGTAGCTTTTGTCTCAAAGCAGTTGTGGAGGAAATAAGATTATGAATCTTAACATATTTTTCCTTAATAAATTAGCTCATGTAAATTAACTGTTTCATTAGGAGCACCTCTTAGCTGCCAACGAGATATTAATGTGCTCTAAAATGTATTTTCCTTTTAGCTGATGGCAGGTTGAGGTTGCAGTTATGTTCATTGATGTCTACTTCTGAAACTGCTAGTCCAGGAGAGATTTTATCTTTGCTCTCTAAAAGGTTTGTGGGTGTTCATAACAAGAGTGTATTTGTGAGTTAAACGATGGAAGCTTTTAGGTGCCATCAGAATTTGAGAAGTGTTAATGAAAATGAGAGGAAAAATGCATTAAAGAATCTTGCCTCAGAATTCTTCTGCCTGTAAGTGGAGTGTATTGCCCACAAGAGATGAGGGAGAGTGGTACATGTCCACATTGTGATGAGCAGTTGAGCAGTCTAACTACTGTGTTAAATCTTTTGGCCTGTTATGCTGAAACCTTGACTATGGACACAATAGGAAGGGACAGAGAAGAGAACCTTCAGAAAATCTTGTCCTTTATGAACAACATGAAGGTCTTTTTTTCTAAGCCCCAAATGAAAATGTATTAGTGAATATTAGTGAATATTCTTTTATTATTCTTGGACTTGTTTTTTTTTTTTTTTTTTTTTTTTTTTTTAGGGATGGCCCTCAAGACATGTTTTTGTGAATTTTCTTTTAATATTTTTGGACTTTTTTTTTTTTTTTTTTTTTTTTGTGTTCAGAGATGGCACTCAAGACCCAAGTTGTATATTTTCTCCATCAGAGAAAATGGGATTGACGCAGAGATTTTTAACATCTTCCTTCAAATTTCTTTTCTTGCAGTTGAAAACCCAGACCATGATTCCAGTACACATTGAAAGAAGTGAGAGACTGTATTATGTGGGAGTCTGAATCCAAGAGACCTTTAGTCAGTCAGTTTCTGAGTCAATCTACATGTAAGCTCTTACTGATTTAATTTTGGTTTGCAAGCTTTATCATAATATACTAACTAGTAAGGTAGTTGTGGATGGGATTATAATATTGGCTATGGTACTTTGAGTGACTTAGTGCTTACAAGAGCAATGCAGAAACTAGTCTGAAGAGAAAGTTGATTAACACTTCCCCTTGAAAATAAGTTCTAGAAGATTTCTTCCAAATACCATTTCCAATGTTCCTTCTCTGTTTGCAGGATGACTAGAATCATGATCTATGACAAACATACAACAGGGAGTTAGTATAACTGTGTAATATTTGTGCAACATTTTGAGGATGATAAGTGTTCAGTGTGATAGACAGAGCACATGACTGCACAAATTGTGGAAGTAGTAGTTTAAAAATAAAAAATAAAAAAAGATCCAACAGGACACATGTGTTAAGCCACTAAGATTGAATCAAAGAGAGAAACTATCAAAATTCAAAGCTCATTTGGAAAAACATAGGTAGATACAAGATATATTAACTTAAAACATTTTTCTTTCTGTGTGTTTTACAACGTATAAAGACTGCATTTTACAGTTCAAAAACCTAGAAGATGTTGTAACGGGCAAAATTCCCGACCTTCCAGTTATAATGAGAATTTACTAGTAAGATGGTTGGTTGATATGATATCATGGGGAAAAAGCTTAGTGAACATAAGCCACAGTTACAGTTGGTGATATGAACAGACTGAATTAAATTGATGACTACAGTTAAAAGGTTTGACATACTCTGTTACTAATCCACTGAGCATTTCAATGACGCTCACACCTTGAAAATAATAGCTGGCATGGCTTGACCATTGCCTGACCTTGTGTACCAAACTCATGTGAATGTCCATTAAACTTCACTGCAGAAATAGTGCAGGGAGTCCAAAGACCTTTTTCTTCCTTAATAGACTGTGCTTTGGCAGTATAAAGATAAAACAATATTTGTGAGTGTTTGGGGTTTGTTTTGGGCGGTTTTAGCATATTAAGGACCATTAAAAGAGATAATGACATGAGATGAGACCATTTTATTGTATCACCTAGTGAGAACAATGGGAAAATTGTAACATCCATGGCGCAAGGTGTCCTGGGATGAAGACAGAACAAAACCAAGAAACAAACAAAAACCAAACCAAAACAAAAAACACACCCTAAAATTAAATAAAATAGTCCCTTTGCAAATCTGAGCTTTTAGCATACTATTTTTTCAACTGCATCACATTTATCTGTTCAAGTGTGTAAGGTCAAGTATCTGGGCTTCAAGAACCTGACATATGCTTTGAAGGAAACTGATCAAAGAGAGTGGTTTCTGCTGCACGAGGTTGCAGTTCGGCCAATTCCACAAGTATTTGAAGTCACTTTAGATGGCAGGAAAGATTAAAATGTCCCATAAGATAAAGGCAACAATGAAGAAACATAGAATAATGAAGATACCAACGGGCTGGAACTGTTAACTAAAAGAAGTATGATCAAGTCCTCCATGGAGCATCTTCCTTATGTTGTTAAAATGTTCCAGCAAATTTTCTGGTTTTGGAAAAATTGCATCAGTTTACACCAGCAAATAAATTGGACCATTTTTAACATTTTGTTCAGAAGCTTACAGACAAAGCAACAATTACTATTCAGTATTCAGTGTGTTTGGCAGTACTGTTAGGTTAACATAATTACAAATGCTTTTAATAAAAATCTGGCATTTAAGGATTTCTGATATATGTGTATGTGTTAACAGCCTTGTGCTTTATTTTATTTTCTTGTTTTTCACTTTCTTACCTCTAGCATCTTATGAATCAATGTGGCAGTAAAAAACATGCAATGGAAAACAGCACTAACTTTGGCAGCAAAAACTGGCTTTGTGGAAAATGTGCAAATGATCCTGGAAAAGGGTGTTTATCCCAAAACCATAAATTACAAAGAGAAGCTCATTGGTCAACAGTGCAAGAAGCTGCAAAACAGAGATGCAAAGACATTGTTGATGTTCTGAAGAATGACAGAAATGTTAACATTAAGGACAAATATTGAGTCACACCATTGGGGGTTACGGCTGAATGTGGTCTCTTTGATGTGCTGGAGCATCTTAATCATAATGATATGTAGTCAGAAAAAGAGAAATTCACCTCTGCACTGGTATACATCTTGCCTGAGTGCTGAGGGCACTGGTATACATCTTGCCTGAGTGCTGAGGTCTTTCAGGAAAAAAAGAGGAAATTAGCTAAAAGGAAAGGAAGCACATGTGAGTCTTTCTGCTGGATTGGAATGATGCTTACATGTTTCTGTAGTGCCTGTGAGAGGAGCGGCAGAGTTGAAAGAAATCCATTTCAGTCAAGGAGAGATTGCTATACGTGCTCTTCTTGCCCTTCTATGTTTCTCTTTACTCTACTCCATCCCTCCCTCACTCCTACCTTTCCTTCCACATATGGAATTATATTGGTATTAATTAATGAAGTATATTTGAAATATGGTGGTTTGAAAGTCCTCAGTTGTAATGCTTACAGTCAAAGCAGAGTCCGCTCAGGCGAGCACTTGAACTTGTATCTGTACACCTCTTATTTTGATAAGTTCTGTATCCTCTTTTGAGGTGGACATGGCAAGGCCTTATCAGATGATCATGTACCAGTTGGAGGACATGGTCTAGGCTGCATAGCTCTGCTTTTGGAAGGAAGTGGCAATGTGCTGGTGAGGCAGGACTGCTTCCCATACACAAAGTGGCTTATGAGGGGCATCACCTGTGAGTATGAGTTTGGACTTCACATTTTCTCTAAGAAACAATGTGGTACAAGGTTACATCAAAGATGTCTGTAGTAAACTTGCAAACGTATATTTATGTACATTTCTATTTCAGAAGTACCTGTGTTACATTAGATTTAATTATCTTTTATTTTTAGCATAAACAAAGCAAAATGCAAAACATGCTTCTTAGAATTAAATGAAAACCACGGAAACAAATTAAACACATCTTATTTGACAGTGCTTAAAACTGGTGTTTCTGTGTTTTGATCTTTTGTAAGATGTCTAGGTGGTAACTAAGAACATAAATGAGTGAGGGTTATTTTCTTCCTGTAAGGAAGTTACACCTGCCTAGTTTTGTTGACTGTTTTTTAGGGGCGGGAAGTCCCAAACTTTAATCCAGGAAAGTGGGTCAAGCACTGTTCATTCTGCTGTAGACAGCCAGAACCAGTGTCTAGAGCTTGTCATTGAAAATGGTTTGGATGTCAACACTGTCTTGTCTGAATACTTAATTTCAAATACTTATGATGACAGAAGACAGCCTGCACTTTGTTGTGCTGTTTCTAATAATGGGATTCTTTGCACCCAAATATTGCTGAAAGCAGGAGCAAATCCAAACAAGGATCCTTTAAACTTTGTTCTCATAGCAGTGACAGCCATGGAATTCTAAAGCTACTCCTATCTTATGGAGCAGATGTCAACTGCTAATTTTGTTGCTTAATGATATGCGTTTCCCCAGTGCATTTGGTATTCTTTGAATGGTGACATGATGCTGAGGCTGTTGCTCAGGCATGGATATAATGTGGAGATGTGTTTGGATTTTATGTGTCAGGGTATCTTGGGAAATTCTTTTGTGTGGCCAGCCCCAGAGCTTGAACTTATTCAATAAATAATAAACTAATAAATACATACCTTCCTTGCTTCTCTTCACTTTGCTCTTTTCATTAGCCAGATTGAAACACTCTGGTTATAGTGTTGAATTTAGATTAACGTACTGTCAAAATAATTTTTTGAAAACACTCTAAAAAAAAATAGCCATTTCTCATTTTCCTCTCTGAGGCAGAGAAAATGACGTACATATGGTGGTGATGTGGTTTTATATTTGCATTAATTTATTAGAGATTTAGAAAGAAATTTTAAGAAATCATGAGGAAGCATTCTGGAATTTCTGTTCCTTTCCTAACTACTGGAGATGTGGTTCCAAATAAATATTTCTGTTGAACAAAACAGTGCCACGGATTACTTTTTTTTTTTTTTTGCCTTCAAGCCTGTTTACATAAATTAAGGGTTCACAAAGGCTAAACATGGAAGAAAATGGATTTAAAAGTAACCTACCTAGGTATCAATTCGACTGTTGAAGACCACTGCTAGGACTTTGTTTAAATTATCTTCTGTAATTACTTTAAAATGTGTTCTTTAGCATTTCTCTGCACAGATTTTGAAATTATGGCTGGATGTGTTCTCTGTTTCAGTTCTGTGAGTTTATTGCTGTTCCGTGATTGAGACATTTAGCTGGAAAAATGGCTTTTGTTTTTTATAGATTACACAGATTATGTACCTGTAAGCAAAACAATTCAGTTTTTCATAGAAACACAGAAAAAAAATGAACAGAACCATAGACTTGATAAATATTTAGCTTCCAGTTAATAATGTTATGGTTTATTATAGGAAATATGGTTTATTATAGGAAATTTTAATTGCTTATGTCAGGTCACATTCATCCAAGGTGTTGTAGCATACTTTGTATATTGAAGATCGTTGTGCTATGTAAAATTCTTCAAACATCTAAATGATTATTTTTAGGTATTTTTGCAAAGTGTTTGCTTCCAGGTACAGTTTCGTTTCTCTGTGTGCATGTTTCAAGGCTTGGCAATATTTAAGGGCCTTTAGACAGGCTCTTTTAAACAAAGAGTAGATTTTGATGGGCAAACCAGGAAATCAAGCTGCATATCTCCTTGGTTAAGAAATATTGTAACTTTAATTTTGGTTTCTTCAGAGCTTTGGCAGATCAGTTCTTGAACAGACTCACCCTCAGTCATGCTGTCATGCACTGCACAGTATGTTTCTGCACATTTAGAAAAAAAAATCTGACAATAAATTTTAAGATATTAATTAAAAATTATTTTCAATTATTCCCTTTGTTTTTCTACCGTCCCTTCCATCTTGAGGAAAGAAAAAAATGCAGACCCTCCCAACTAAGAAGGTATTTCAGTTGGTGGATATCAGGATTACAGAGGGCATAATCCTTTTAGCTAAACCCACAGTTGTCAAATGATTGTTTGAAGGCACCTTAAAGATCATTTAGTTCCAACCCCCTTCCATGGGTGGGGACACTTTCCATTAGAGCAAGTTTCTCAAACTTGAACACTTCCAGGGTTGGGACAGCCACAACAACTCTGGGCATGCTGTTATTTGAGAGATATGCTGATTATCACACACACACATATTCACACAAACCAAAACTCAGCTCCAGTATGCTTCTGCCCTGCCCCCTAAACTCATTCTCCATGTTCTTAAGAATTTCTCCTTATTTGCTGAATGTCATTGTCATATAAGACCTAACTTCTGAGTCAGAGATGTAAATTCCACTTCCCAAGGCAGCTATATTGGTCCTTTGTGTGTCCTTCTTCATGACAGATTCACTGGAGCAAATGGGAAAAGTGAAAATTACTGGTCTGGGACACAAAGAAGGTTTAACAGAAGGCTTAATTCCTCCTGCTCTCAGCAGGGCCACTGTTCATATAGCTTTCTGAGACATAACTTCTGGGGGTTTTGCCAGAAATTTTGACCAGGATGAAAAATAATAATTTAGTCACTTTTGAAAAATTTCTAGGCATCTGGCATGTGAGCCAGGCCCCTGACAGAAGGATGCCCCAGGTGACAGGTGACTGCAGGCATGGCCTGAGCACACAGTGCCCAGTGAACCCAACGCAGCTGACTGCAAGTCAAGGCTCCACTGGCCAATACCTCCTGGACATAACAGGATAAATACATATATGCTTCCTAACCTATACACTGGTATTTCTTTGTGGGAATTCTTAATCAGAAATATGAGCCTAATCATAATAAATCTTAAATTATGGTAATTTTAATTAATACAGTGACCACAATGCAAGAATCTAGGTAATTGCATATCTGATACAGTATACTGCAACCAGCAAAGGAAATACGATCAAATAAGGCTTTAGACAGGAGATTTTAAACCCTTTCTGTGGCTAGAGCCAAATTCCATTAGTAATTTTAGTTCACAGGCAAAGGTTTATATTTAGGACTTCATACAAGCATCAGCAGTAGTTACATTGCTTGCAGCATCAAAGTGTTCAGATGTAGCACTGAGCATTGCCCCAAGTGTTTAAAATACCATGAGCTAGTCCTTTGAATATCACTAGGTAAGCTAAAAAGACATGGTACTGGTTGTGTTTATCTTTTAATCAGTACAGCCAGGCCCTTTTTTGTTTGGTTGCCTGTCATAGGAGGTGGATACTGGTTTAAAGTTTTTCTGTCCTTCAACATTGAAGTTGTTTATTTATTGAAGGTTTCTGCCCACCCTTGCTTCCCATCACTCCCCTTCCCTCCCATGCCCCCACCCTCCTCAACACTAAAGAAAGTACAGCATTATGAGAAAGTGTCTTTATATTTTTAAGGCATCTGTGAACTGAATGGAGGGAGAAGCAATACTTTATTTTAAGTGAAATACGAGGTGAGATAGTCATGGAAAGGGAGCTGTTTTCCCCAGGTCAGGTTTATGGCGCAGCTAGGAATTGAACACAACTCTTTCAACTCCTATTTTTGCAGCCAGACCATTTGATGCCTACTTCTATGGACTTGGCTACATGGGGGCAGAGGGAGGAAATGTAACTGGGCCAGAGCTGGTGATGGTGTGAAAAGACACAAAGGTTTCATCCCTAGCTGGAAGAATAAATCGGTAGGAAAAAAACCTTTTTATTTTCCTGACTTGGACTGTGATTGAACCCTTGCAACACTAGCATTTAATTTTCTCGACTATTTGGGTGTGTCTCACAGGCTGTTCCACCGCAACCCAATTCCATGGCATGCCCACCCCCGGGCCATGTTGTCTACAAGTAATTAAATGCCCTGGCACTGAATCAGGCATGCTGTGGGATAGGGACTCCTATCGATTTGGGGACAATGTTTGAAATCAGAGGTATAATTTGGTTTCTATTTCTCATAAAATCTGACACAAGCAGCTGCACCAGGCTGTGAGCTCTCCAAGGAGCCAGACATTCAACAGTGGTTACATCAGCCTTTAACCTTTTCAGCACATTCAGCAGGATGGACTTTGTAGCTGTGAGTGTTTTCAGAGCTCAGTGCAGGAGGGAGAAAACCATAGCCATGAGGCCTGTATATGATGAGCTATTCCCTGTAGAAGCCATAATGTTGTGTGTGGGTCATCTATAAAACTCCATGCACTGACTACCATCTAATTTTGGGAGCTAGCATGGCAGGGCTTGTTCTGGGTATCAAGGCCGGTGTCAGGGTGAGGTGGGAGGTGAGCAACAATTTTACTGCAGCAGTCTGTGTTCTGGCATGGGCTCCAAGTGCCTGAGCTGCCCTTTCTCAGACTATTGCCATCAGTACGCGAGTCACACATGGAAAAACACAGTCATGAAGTCACAGGCTCTTTTGTGTCTACCTTGGGGTAAGGTAAAGGGATTTTTTGTGCCCCTTCCTTGGGGCAGAAAAAAACCCCTACTAAAATATCTGTGGTTTGGTTATGGCTTGCATGGACATAAATTTGTTTTGACTTATCTCTCTGTAGGAGAGGTTTTATCTCTTTTGTTTTTCCATCACTTCCAGGGTCTTATTAGGAATGGCTGAGAGAGCTGGGATTCTCCTGAAAAGCTACAAAAATATATTAGTGAATAGTTAGTAGTCATAAGAATGATATAACAGTGTAGCTGGTGACATGATCAATGTATTTTCATTTAATTTTCAAAATTCAAATTTTCATTAGAAGACTTTACATCTAATTGGGCAAACTCATTGCCATTTGTCCACGTTTGCAGTGCATGGTAGATATTCCCAGAACTTCTGTTATCATTAATATGGACTAACAAAAACTAAAAACAAAACAACCCCCCAGCATAATTAAAGACAGTAGAGAATTTACCTGGTTAGTACTGCTGCTTGTATTTAATTTCCTATATTTATTGTTTATATTGTTTGCATCTCCTTTTTGAAAAAATCTTCATGAACACACACTGTTAAAAAAAAGTGACAAAGGAAATGCTAAATATAGTAACTACCTGTTTTGCTCTCTGTGTATAAAGAAATAGAGTAATTTTTTTAACTGAATGACAAACCGTAGGTTTGGCTAAGTTACATGGGAGAATTGTCTGGGACTTGGGTATTAACAAAGGATGAAGTCCAAGCAGTTTTCATAATCACTTATAATTTAATAACTACCTGATATGGGCATGCATATTACAGTGTATTTGCAAGCACCACCATAAATAATACAGTTCTTACATTGGTAAATTTTACCTATTTTATTATGCTTCATTTTTTAAAAAGTAGTAGGCTAACTGCATCCCACTGAAATTATCCTTCCAAACCCCACATTTTTTGTTCATACAGCAGTTCCTCTGTTACTTTCTTTGCAATACAGTGGCCTCTACTTCCTTTCCAAACCTGTTGAGCAATATTGCGGTGTAATTCCAAACAGCTGCTGTGGTCACCCTATGTCTGTACATCAGTAGCAAGTGAAACGATTTCTATATATAGTTTGTAAATCTGTTGGCAGTGTTTGTAAAGCAGACTGAGACTGTTCCTGAGGAATAAGAGCAGCTCTGTGAAAGCAAGAGCATTAAGACTGTCCTTGTGTACCAAGCAGTTTATCTCTTTGGTGTGGCAGAAATGAGGAAATGGCCAGTCTGCAGAGACGTGAAGAAGCACTTGCTGTGGGCAAAATCCTGGCAGGAATAGTTTGTGCTGTCAAAGATAAGCAGGTTCATCTCACACTGTTAATACAGAACATGGCATGAACATTGTACTGACATGAGATGATTAAAAAGTATTGGCTGTGTAGGAAGAAAAGAAAACTGGGAATGGGAATGACATTTATTCAATAAGATTTCTTTTCCCCAATGTCTTCCTTATTTTAGTGTGATTCAGGTAGGCAAAAGGAGCAATAAATCCCATGTCTGCTGCACCTTTGGCACCCAGTGGCATCCTCTCTGTATAATAAAATAGACCTCCAGGATCCATGCACAAAGGTGCCTGTGTAATGTGAGCAGTGAGATTTCTTTCCTTTCATTAAAGGTTGAGAAATTTGTTAGTTCAGAAATGTTCTTATTTGCACTCAGATGTGTTTTTGCCCCCAGTCCTTCCCTGCAGTCAGGTTTACCTGACTCCCCCTGACTCCCCTTCCAGGATGCATCCATACTATCTTCCCATCAGCAGCATTATCAGAGCCCATTCACTACTTCACTCCCTCTTACTGTTCCGTGTTGATAAGTAAGGCAATGAATGCAAACACCCCCACCACTGAAATACATTAGATTAGTGGTTGCTCTGTGCCTTGTTGGTATATGGTGCATAATTATGTCCCCAGCAACTGTTGAGAAAGCTGTTTTCAAAACTGATCTGAGCAATAAGGCAGCCCACATGCAGGTGTTTTTGATTAA